AATTAATGGATGTGCGGTTAGTATAATATGTCGCGTGTTAAAACTTGATATAACGAACCCCCTTAAGTAAGGGGACACATAAGCCAGAAAAATTTAACAAACACTTTTTGTCTGAAAAATATATACCAAAAGATGCGCCTGAAAATTATTAACACTGAATAGCATAGCTTTGTAAAACAATAATTTTTACGATTAAATTTTAAGAAATTTAAATTTTTCCTCTCCCCCCCCCCTCCCCAATTCGTCCTTTGTACTACTTTTAAACTTTGTGCATTAAGTTTTTAAAGTTCTGAAGCATCCGAGCGGTCTCGCGCTTAGCCGACGAGATGTCTACAATAGTATTTTAAAAAGGAGAGTTAATATGCTTTGAAAAAATTTATACACATTGGTAATTTGCAAAATAAGCCGAGAAATTAAAGTAGAAAATCCAAAGTAGGCGTAAATGAAATTTGTCTAAGTGAAAATCATACAAATAGTAAGAATCTATCTCATCTGGTTTTGCATTTACGAAAAGAAATAAATCCATAAGATCGAATGCAAATAGGTGTAATAATTTGTGATACAAAATCCGATTTTCATGAAATCGCTTTACAACTCTCAACTCCAATTTTGCACGCTTAATGGAGACTTTGAACTCGCGTAACCTCGTCGATCTTAATGCGATTAATTTGAAAGTTGTATGACATATTTTCATGATGCAAGAGCCGATTACGAATTTTAAAGAAATTTAAGCCACGCATCATCTCTTAAGGTCATTATGAATTTTTATTCGACACCGTATCAACGAGACTTTGGTCAAAGTTCAAAAAACAACGATGAAAATCCTTTATCCTTTGTCCGCTTAAAGTGGTATTTTTAAAATATCAGCATTCCGCAATTAGTCAAGTAAAATGCAAACTTTCGACGCTTCTCAAGAAAATATCATTCGAGAATGAACTATCGGGGCCACTGGATTTTCAATTTCATTAAATTTTGAAATTTACGATTGGCGCATTCGCTATTTTATTTACTAATCGAGAATTCATTGTCTCTTAAAAGTATTTCACTTGATTCCCAAATGTCTTAATAACTATGTAGCTGTTGTTTGAAATTGCTCGATCGATTTTCACGTCGGAAGTGAAATTTGTAACGAGATTAAGGGTTTCCCCTTAATACGTTTAATAGAACCTGAAGATTATATAGTTAGAAAGTCCTGTTTTTATTTTTTTAAATATATTTTTATTGGTCGTGCATCGTATTGTTAAAATTGCAAAATTAATTTAAGACGGCGATACACTTCAAATTTACGAAATTAATCCATTAATCCATTATCTTAATGTTAAAAGTCACTCACTCTCTCTCTCTCTCTCTCTCTCTCTGCTTTTCCATCTTTTTTATAGTCCGTACCTAATTTGCTATTTTTTCACATAATTTTATGTTTATTATTAGATGTGTGACCGAATGAAAACTTTCTAGCTTTATATAATTATTGCTTGAAAATATATTTATGAATTATCAAGACGATTGATTATATGGATTGTTGCAATTTAATTATAAGAATATTATAATAATAAAACACTCGATAATAATATTTTTATACTGAAATTAACGTTATTGAATTGCATAGTTATAGATTTGGTTCATTAATAATGCAAGATTATGGAATAGTAAGTATTAACTAAGGAATTTCTTTAAGGAAAAGTGAAATTTCATCGATAGATAATTAATTGCAAGGGATTCGTAGTAACATAAGCTAATAACTAATTGAAAGAGCTTGAAAAGTTTATTGTGTAAGCTGCAAACATTTACAAAAATATTCACGTGTATAAAAAAATTTATGCTGTAGCGACTAGTGAATGATTATTGCCTCTATTTTGTCAAAACATTTTGTCCCAAAAATTCAACATCCAGTCTTTTCTTCCTATATTTGGTAAAACACGAATAAATAAAACACGAGTCAAATATCATCTTCAACTCTCGGCTGTACTTGAAAATATAAGTTTTTCACTTGATATTGTATTGTATTGTATTGCGTTTCATTTGCAACGAATTCAAGTTAGATCCAACGTCCATCCCATAATTAATATATTATAAAATTATTTAAATCTCTTCGCATTTCATCTATTACTTTATAGTTGTGACATTAAGGAGACGACTGCTCCTTACAAGTTAATATATCGAGGGTATAATTAATTATTTTGTAAATGCTGAAAATACGTACACCGATCTAGAGCCCCCCACCCCCACCCTCATCCACCGTTCCCCGTTCCCCCTCCCGTTCAATTAATCAAATAGATAGGAGAGTAAAGCCCGAGAAAGGAGAGAGTGAGTAAACACGGAGAAGTAGTACATACTTGTGGAGGTGGAGGAAGTAAGAGAGCGTTGGTGAAAGCGAGAGCTGCAGCCTACGTGCAGACACACATACGCGCGCGCGCGCGAGAGAGAGAGAGAGAAACATGGAGATAATGGCTTGAAGAGAAATAAAAATCCGGTACGAATGGCACTGCGAATTTTCCAAGCTCCACCGAGCTCGAAATTAGAGAGGGTGCAAAAGCTATGTGCGAAAGATAAATTGATATTCCGTTGGGAGGGCGAATGGTGTGATATAGGAAAGCGACGAGCCTTACATAAAACTGTCTTTTCGTATTTTCATATTTTCTCATCACCTCGGACCGCTACTCTCTCCTTTATTTGGCCCGACACTCGTTGCGATGATTTTAATGAATTCAGCATTACCGTGCTGTAATTTATTTACTTTCTCGCCGAGGTGCTACTCAATTTTCCCTCGGATTGCCAATATTTTGTAAAAGTTCCCCATCTACCCACACCCCCGCACCTAACTACACGCACAGCAAGATTTTAAATCATGACTCGTGACATAATTCTACATTTTATCTCACCAAAAATATTAAGGTACGCAAATTTTTGCTGAATATATTTTCGCGATATAAATGGACGCCAGTTAAGGGAAGCTTTTTCGAATACGACCCTATAAATTCCCATACAAATTCCAGAATTTTCGTTTTCTACAGTGTACTTGATATTATTATCATTATACAATTATATACCTTGTTATTATCATTACACATCATCACTCGTTATAACATAATGCCACCCACCTTTAAGCTTAATCGCTCGGTTTCATTTCAAAGATACGTACATTTATATATATATATATATATACATTAAGCAATCAAGTCGTTATTATTTATTATGTTATGAAAATAAACAATTTATTAACAATTTTTTAGTAACTTTCTTAACTTTCTATTACATATTCCCCTCTTTTTCCCCATTGGCGCGCTTCTCCACTTAATAAATAAATGCATAAAGCACTATTTACTTCCTTTCAATTTATATGCGATAGAAAAAGATAGAAGCGGCAGTTTGGAAAGCACATTTTTAGATGTACGTAGGGCAGCGTGGGTACTCAACCTCGAGTTTCAATAAAATTTTAATTTAAAATCACGCGGATAGTGCGGCAAGAATATTAGCTTGACTTTACCAGCTTAAACCTGTAAAATTAAACGGATCATTTTCCCATGGAAATATAGAATCTTAACGAGATAAGCAACGGGTTTCGATCGATCCCATAAACCCTAATTAATATACAGCAAATGTTAAACTTGAAAATTACTTCGTATTAGGTAAGTGGTTGATTCTTATTTATGACGTAAACGAATAATGACGAGGGCCAATTCGAGCGTCAAAACACCATTTGCCGTTAATTTTTTGTACCGATCGCCGATCGTATCTAATTGTCCGATACTGCAGTTCGAGCGTCTACTCGCTCGGTCTGTTCTGCTCTATTAGCGTCCGAGGCAGTTCGAGGTGTCAGTCGGAGTCCGCGGTGGCCCCAGGACGATGCTTGCTCTCCTCCGACCAACGCGTCCTGTCTTACAACCAATCCAAAGCCATCAAACGTGCGAATCCATTATCTTACGGAAGTAAAGCTCGCCCGCTTGTACGCTTTAATCCAGAGGAATTTCCTCGGGGGCTGGGGAGGACCACACTCGCGGCACCCTCCCGGAAGTGGCAATCGCGCCGAGCGTATACAGACTCTCTCTCTCTCTCTCTCTCTCTATCTATCTATCACTCTATCTATCTCTCTCTCTATCTATCTATCTATCTATCTATCTATCTATCTATCTATCTATCTATCTATCTATCTATCTATCTATCTATCTATCTATCTATCTATCTATCTATCTATCTATCTATCTATCTATCTATCTATCTATCTATCTATCTATCTATCTATCTATCTATCTATCTATCTATCTATCTATCTATCTATCTATCTATCTATCTATCTATCTATCTATCTATCTATCTATCTATCTATCTATCTATCTATCTATCTATCTATCTATCTATCTATCTATCTATCTATCTATCTATCTATCTATCTATCTATCTATCTATCTATCTATCTATCTATCTATCTATCTATCTATCTATCTATCTATCTATCTATCTATCTATCTATCTATCTATCTATCTATCTATCTATCTATCTATCTATCTATCTATCTATCTATCTATCTATCTATCTATCTATCTATCTATCTATCTATCTATCTATCTATCTATCTATCTATCTATCTATCTATCTATCTATCTATCTATCTATGTATCTAGACGTGGAGTAAAGGGAGCGCTGCACGTGTGGGGGCGGCTGGAGGGGCGTGTGTGCGCGAGTACCGTCGTAGTCCCCTCGTCGAGTCCAAGAATCAAGGTCGGGCTGCGTAGTGAGGAGGGCCCCGCGGCAGCGTTGACCGCGAGTCCTCGCCCGGTCGATCGATAGGCCGGGCGCGAGGAATCGGCAACTCGCCGACGGCGTCCCCGGGGCGGGGCGGCTCTCCCCGCTGACGCGCCTGCGCCACACCCCAATCGCCCCCCCCCGCCCTTGCCACCCAATCGTCCCCACCCCGTGACGTCGCGGCGCCCCTCGAGCCGCGTCTACCTAGAGCTTCGTCCCGGCGGCGCGGAGCGGCAGTTCGCCCCCTCGCGTCGGCCGAGAGACCGGAGAGGCGCACGAGAGCCGCCGGCCAGTGAGAGTGAGAGTGAGAGTGAGAGTGAGCTACCGAGCCCGTGCCCGAGCCCGTGCCACAGCCCGACGAGTACTCGCCACCCCTTGAGTCCGTTAGGCACGCGGACAGGAATCTCGGCTGGAGCTGCAACTAGGCGCGCCTCATCCACGACGTCGCGCACCGACCTCGAAATCCTCGCCGATGGGCAGCCTCGGAGCTCCCAGGGACGGCCCCGTCTCATGGTAAATCATTCATTGACTATCGCTATCAGACAACCCCTCCATCTCACATCCCACGGGCACCCCCGCCCCCCGACCCGTATCATGAGCTATACCTCCCCCCCCCCCCCCCCCCCCCCCC